TTTTTCCTCTTCTCCACCCCCCCGCAACCAAGGCGAATCCCCAAATCCCAGCTCCTTCCTGCCAAAGACACGTGCACCTGCAGAGCAGCTGGTGCCAACATCCAGAGCAGAGCCAAGCACAACAAACGGGCTAAAGAGCCCTCACTGCACAGAGACCAGCTTACAAAAACAACCGTATTTCACCCAAACTCTATTAAACTGTCCTGGGTTATTGCTTCGTTTCCTTTCCCACCACTGAGGATCAAATGAGATTTCTGTGGCTACACAGAGATGCTCACACATCTTCCCTTCAGCTGCCCCTTCTGTGCTCCACACAGGGTGAAACCCGCCATGGGGCGGCACAGCTTTGCATGCAAATAATTTCCCCTCAACAATGACTTTTTCATGTTGGGAAAAATACAACCGGGAACACATTCCTGTGCAGCATTACCCAATGGGGCACCCAAACCCTTTGCAAGGGCCCAAGAGAGTCCTGCAAGCTGGGGTCTCCTTGCAAAGCCCAAACAGTGGGGCCACCCAGGCTTCAAAGCCAGAGGGGACTGGTGTGATGGTGATACCAACCAGCACAGCCCTGCCATGTCCTGACACTCTTCACGCAAGGGCGTCTGCAAGTTCCAAACCTGCTCTTTGTGTGGCAATTAATGTAATGGGGCATTAACTGAGGAACAGGGCATTGCTCTCTTCCCCTTCCCTGTGAGCATCCCTCTCATTTTACCTTCAAGCTTCTGGGTTTTCCTCGGGTAGACCTGAAAGTCAGTTGCAAACTAGACTTCTTGTTTACAAGTCAGGATTTAAAAGCTGTGTAGGAGATTCAGGGCATGACTCCTATTAATTTCACCAAGTTTTACACATCTAAGTCTCAGCCATCAGTTTCTAACAAAAACAAAGCTCGCTTCAAGGCAAAAAATAGCCACGAAAAATGAACCTTGGTTCCACAGGCTTTTTGAAATAGAAGTATCTGAAATGCAACAGTTCTTGCAGGCACTCGGCAGGCTTTGCAAATAGATAAGGGCGTTTGGAAACTAACATGAAAATTTCCACTGCGCGTCTTGTCCCCAGTATCTGCACACACACACCCCCACCAGCTCAGCCATCAGCAGTGTCGGGAGAGGAAATGCAGAGAAAAGTCCAAGAAGTTTAATGAACTGTCATAGCTTAACAAACTAATCCCTGCTTATGTCCACCTCATCCCAAACGAGAGGCTGGGAAAAAACAAGCGTGCAATATAAGGCAGCTATCTCTTATCTGCTCCATTACTCTGTATGGGCAGATGATTGAGCAGACTCCTGGGTCACGGCAAGGCATTGCTTGCTCCTCCACAATGCACAGCCAGAACTGAGCAAATACCTCACAATAATTTCCCATGAAAAGTTTGCATCTGTTTTCCAGAAATACTTCAGCTAAAGGTAAGAAATGTGTATGGGAGCAGTATGGTTTACAAAATGCTCATGGAAAGACAGCTTTGAACTTGACATGAACATGCATTCAGTAGATTGGGTGCAGAAAGAGTCTTCACCCTTATGCTGTTTGTTTGTGGTACTGGAGTTGTCCTCTGCCAAGAGCAGGACCACAACTGAGGGAGCCAAGGTAGAGTAAAGCAAATGGACAAAAAGGAGGAGGTGTTTTCCTCCTGCCTGCACCGAGAAAGATTTTGCAAAGGGTTTGGTGAGAACAGTGTGACCCCAGAAAAACCTAAAGCAGGATCCACCAGCACATCTGCTGCACTCCCTGAAGCTGTAGGCAGACCAGCATCCTCATCCCAGCATCCCGCCATCCTTATCCTCGAGAGGCACGGCTGGGTGCCTCACCAGCAAACAGAAAAAAGGCAGGTTGCTGCTGCCGGAAACTCTGGGCAAGCTGCTCCTGAGCGATGTAAACATTTGTTAACAGGAGGCACTGGGTAAATAACTTACAGCAGTGCAAACAATAGCAAGTAGCGGTTTCTTGGTAAAGCAGCACCCGGGCTTTCAATCAAAGCTCAAGGCTGTATTTTCTTAGGCCCTTTATTGAGCTATCAGAAGGCTTTACCTCTCCCACATCCCTTATATACACGTGCATGCACAAACTCCTGGTCCCCCAAATCCTCTTCTCTACATGAACTGCTTCCTGGCAATTCCTGGAACAGAAAGGGGAGAAATTCGTGTGAAACATCAGCTGCTCCTCACTGGCAGCTCTGATCTTCATAAAAGCCAATGCCTCAACTCAGCATCATATTCTCATAACATGGGCAATGTTTCAGAGATGCCTGCAGGACAGCTGGTACCAAAGTGGAAATGGCTGCAATGACAGTGGGATGCAGGTTTGGCTGAGCAATAAAGCCTGGATGCAAATGCTAAATTAGATGGTAATCCTGTATCTCAGCAAGAAGGTAGGGTTTGTTTGAGGGTTTTGGGTGTTTTGGTGTTGTTTTTTTTCTTTTCATCTAGGTATTGCTTTTCTGATATTGCAAAGAAAATGCTGGTTCCAGGTGCTGCTGGCTTGCTCTAAGGTAGGGGAAACATTTTGTCTCCCCTTTCTGTATAAGTTTCTAAGGAATAGGTCTAAGGAATTTTCAAGAAAAACAGAAGTACACGGAACAGAAAAAAAAAAGCTGCAGAAGCTGGTGGTGGTCCCCAGGGGAGCGGTGAGGAGGTAGGACGTTAGGTCACACAGATCTGCTTTTCATGTCTTCTCCGAGAAGACGTCCAATGGGTTCAGTTCAGACCCCCGTAGCCACTAACACAACACCCCGATGAAATGGTTCTCTGCAGGAAAGCAAACAGGGGGACAGGATTTGCTGCCAAACCCTTACGTCTCACAGAGGGAGAGAGGGGAGAGCAAGAGGAAATGAAAAACAAATCCCAGAGCCGGGGATGTGCTGAGGGGTGGCTGCGGCATGGTGTTATCTTTGTCGGCAGGGTGGGCTCTGCAGGGGTCACCATGGGAGAGAGGATTAAGTGCTCGCATCCAGAGGGGCGGACATGCCTTTATAAAGGCTGAGGAAAAGGGGAAGCTGCTCTGAAAGATGAGAGGAGGGCAAGTCTTGCTGGAATGGTTTTACTCCTGGGGGTTGCATGGTTGGCCAAAGCAGTGGTGGGACCTGGAGAAGATGACCACCACCATGTTGGTGGTCTCCCTGGCTGGACTCTGCCAGCCAAGCTTCCCACAGAGGAGACAACCCCGTGCCATGGGATGATGCCCACCTGGTTTGGCACAGCCAACCTAGGAAGAGCAAAAGGAATGCACACAGAGGAAGAAAGGGAAAAGGAAGAGGTGAGGTGAGTGCATTAAAATATAAATGAGACGAGATGGTTGTATAGATACTTTTAAACCTATACAGATGGGAAGCCACAAGTAACCAGGTCTCCACATACCATTAGCACATCACTTATTAATCACCCATTAATGAAAGGGCTGCAGATAGCAGAGTCCCATCTTCTACCACTATAGTATTTTTCAGCCATTTCTCCTTCCCTATCCAATTTTATTCCAAGAAATTCCCCCAAAAGCTAACACCAAAGAGCTGTGCTTTCATTTCTCTTTTCTCTTCTTTCAACCAAAGCTTTAAAAGAAACAAACACAAGCAGAAGCAGTTCCACACCAAGCTTCTACCTAGTCCTCTCCCATGCAGGACTAGCTGCACATCAGTGACAACCCAGACCCCCTTTGAAACTTGCACGTAACTTCACTTTCCAGCTCTGCCCAAAAAAAGCACATTAAAACTTCTAACCTTTTTTATTCCAGGCCAATTATTTGGAAACTGAGCCCAAGACCCATAGAATTCATTATGTCTCTCTTACTATTTGCTGGAGAGTGTCAACCGGCCAGCAAGTGGCTTGCAAAACTATCTGGTTTTCACCCATAACCTCTGAGCTGACTGCCTCTCCTGCTACAGGTGAGGCACTTAAAGGAGTAATTCTGCATTGGTGTTGAAAATAACAGCACCCACTGCTAATATGCATAAGTTGCAAGGTATAAGTATCTATATTGCCCTTTGTTGTTTCAGAGAAACAACCTGTCTTCTGGATTCAGCAATAATTTCAGCAAAACCATGGTCACAAGAGATGCAGTTTTGGAAGAAGCAAGGAGCTCATCACTCTGCTATTTATGAAACTTTAAAAATACATGTACAAACATAAAAACACCACACCCCACACCCCCCCTGCTCATACACATACCACCTTATTTGATCAGACCTCATAAAAACCAGATGCTATCTTGGAAACTAACTTCCTTGGGAAAATAAACTGCCTGTAGTAAATCCCGGGGCCAGCATGGGCAGTGCCCCGGCACGCTGTCTGCGTGAGGCTTGCCACTTTGCAGAGACTCAGGACAAACAGGGCAGTGTTAAAGCTCTCTGCAAAGCAGGAAAAAACAGAGAGAAGCCATGAAAATTTCACAACTGCTAGCGGGGAGCTGGGCTTGGTGCTGGGGTTTTGGGGTGATGGAGGCAGCCGAGCAAATTAAAAAAAAATCCACAACCCACGGATGTCAGCAGGTTGTCAGTGTCTCGGAGGCACCACCATAAAATCCGCACGCCGTCAAGGCTTGCTGGTCGGCGGGAGGGCTGGCGAGAAAGAAAACAACGCGCTGGGTGACAGCGGAGTCTCTGCGCAGGGAGGCTGTCAGCGCCTGGAGGTGGCAGTGAGCCTCCTGCTCCACCAGCCCAGCCTCCAACAAACCATGCCGGAGCGTGCAAGTGAGTGGGGAGCAATTGCGTGTGGACTCGAAAGCGTGAGGGGCCGCTTCTCTGCAGGCACGGAGCGCCGGTGGTCTTGCACAGCCCTGAGCTGGTTGTCACGCTTCCATCCGCCAGGCAGACAGCACCGTCGGGATGGAGGGTCACCCCCGGCGTTCAGATGCTCGGCGAAGCTTCCCAAACTCGCCGACGGAAATGAAAGCGCGCCGAGCGCGGAGGGATGCCTGTCCCGGATATTCGGCACAAGGAAGAATGTGGAGTTCTTGGAGCGGGCACGGCCACCCGCAGCTGTGCAAACAACCCCGCAGAGAAGGTGACTTACCTTGGCCCCCGGCCGAGATCGCAGACCCCCCGCCTCCAGGAAGCCTTCTCCCTTGCCCAGAGACGGGACAAGCAAAGCCGAGGGCTGAGGGCTGCTTCCCAGCGGGAAGCTGCCGTCTCACAGACCAGCGCATTAAATGAGCTGGCTCGGGTTAGGACCAGGCACCGATAGCCACCGTCAGCCTGCCCCAGCCTAGTGCATAGCAGTTGCTGCTCAGTTTCAACTTATCCCTGCAATCGAGGCGAGTTTCTCTGCCAGGAGAAAAGCTGCGGCAGCGACTGCAGGCGAGAGGGTTCACTGTGCTGCTTGGGTCTCATCTCCACCACAGCATCCCCCCAGCACTGCAGCTCAGGAGGGATCCTGCCTCCAGTTGGACGGGCGGGAGGAATGAGAGGCCCCGATCCAGGAAAGCACATGCTGATCCGTCAGCACCTAAGTACTCCTGACCCCTGTCATCTAGAGGAAACTAATTTCAGATGGTGAGAGAGGGAGGAAGGGATTACCATCTACAGCAGATCTAGGGGGAATCAGATGCCCTGGGGCAGGCTGGCCAGAGGTCGTGCAAGAAAACACCATGTTGGAACCTGTTTGTGACCCCGAGTGTTGATAGGTCTCAACCTGGTCCCCTAAAGACCATACCGGGTGCATCAGGCAGGAGAGGAAGAGAAAGAGCTGGCTCTGGAGGCACGGGCCAGGCTCCTCTCTCCACTGCAGCTTCCCAGCCCCAGCACCAGAGGTGCGGAGCCCAGGATGGGTGAAGTTACTCCCAGCTCTGCCCTCCACACCTCCAGATATAAGGAAAATACTAGTTTTCTCCTATTTTGCCTCGCCAGACTACCTACCATGGAGTCTTGTAGGCCCAACAGTATATAAAGATGGAAGAGTTTTTAATCGCACAATTCCATGTATTTTTTGGAGATGGGGGTGAGGAGGAGGGAAGACCCAGCACAATCTCTAAATCTTTGTTCCCCCATGCTCCCTCAGCCTGTTTCCTCCCAAGCTTTTGTACTACCTCAACCAACTTTTATTTTTGGAAAAATAAACCAGAACAAATGGCAATAAATACAGGCAGGCTTAGTGGGAAACTGCTGAGAGAGCTGCAGATCCTGGCGGAAATCTCCTGACACCACTGAAGCCCCAGGGCCCATTTCTCCCCAGTGGGAGACAAGGACTGTGGTGAGAGATGTGGACCATGGTGGCATCCCTGCTGGGTGACCCTCCTGCCCTGCCAGGGAGCAGCTTGCCCAGCCCCAGCTGGGAAGGGGCTCTCCCCAAGCTCCTGGGCTTGGTGTGACTTCACTGCATGCAACTATTGGATCCAGATGCGGAGAGGAGATGAAGAGCCGCCAGGCTGTCACAGAGCAACTCCAGCAACAAGGGCCATGGGTTATAATGCCTTGACCCTGGGGAAGGAGGCTGTTCTGGTGACGTCAGAAACTGCCAGATACTGCAGACTGAGCGGATGGGGGTTTCCCTCCCCAATGTCCCTGTGCTGTGCAACAGGCTAGGCTAAATTCAAGCTTTTCAGGGATAGGACCAGGGGTGCTGTTTTATGATAAAGCACTAGTGTATCCAGAGCAAGTAAGCCCCCACAGCCATGCAAAATCCTACTGCTCTGAGGGTGCTCATATCACATGATATTGTACATCAATCATATTTTCCTGTATCTCAGCTCAGAGAGCCCTCTAACCCCTGCTAAGAGGAGCTAACAACATCTGAGGATCTCAGGCAACTAGTGACAATTGAAAAAACAGAATAAATATTCAAGTTAATCAGAAAAATATAAATGAGAGAGGAAGGAGGATCCTGCAACACGCTAGTTCCTGCCTGCCACTGGGAGCACCACCTTAAAACAATCCAACAGCCAAGCCATCACACAAATCCCCAGCTGCAACCACACTGGTTTCTCTTTTCAAAGCCCTTCTACAAGCTTTGAGGACACCTTTCAATAAAAAGCACACTAAAAGGTCCTCTCAAGACGATGGAAACCAAAAAACCTGAAACTCAAGAGCACAAGCCCTTTGCTCAGCTGCAAACCTGGCCAAAGCGACACAGCTGACACACAAACCCAACACCAAGCAGCACGTGAGCTGACAGTCATCCCTCGCTGACCACTGCAGCTTCAGCATGTCTTTGCTTCACTTTCATCCGTGACAGAGTCTTCTTGTTTGTCTTCTCATCCTGGACTGTATCAAAGAAGTTTACAGAAAAAGACAAATAGATCACAGCCACTACCCTGAGTCCACCCTACTGGCCACAGTTCAAATGATACCAAATACACGTTTTTTTCTGAGGAGTTCAAGATGAGTCAAAACAGCACAAAAGCATAAGCCAGACCATGCAGAAGAGAAATGGGAAGGCAAAAAGACCAACTAAAAACCCCACACTCTTAAGATAGGTTTTAGGAGATGACTCTGACAACTGATATTTTACTCCAAAACGAGGGATTGTTTCTTACCAGATTGGCTCTGGCTAGCCCTGCTCTGGTGCCGTTATCTTTTACACTGCACCAGTTTGGAGCTATAGCAGCCCCCAAAGTGACCCTCTGGGAGCCTCCCAAATTTGTCATGGGCTGCAAAGATCCCACAGTGCTGTCCATGGGACAACTCTATCCAGCTTTACCACTTCCAAGGAGGTGATGTGCCACCTTGGCACTGGCAGAGTCACCTGAACCTGTTTTAAACACCAAACAAGCACGAAAAAAAAACCCAACCCAAAAACAGCCCCTACTGTAGCAGAGCAGAGGGTTAAAGTTCCAATTACAGAATTGGAAACACAGTTACCCAAGAGAAAAATAAACCAATTTATAAAAAGCCAAAAACACAATTCCAGATTATATTTAACACTCAAATTCCTCCTTAATTGCTCCAGTGTCTCAGCCAGCTTGCAGGGGAGGAGTGGGGACTGGCAAATTAGCTCCCCCCAGGGCTGCTTCCCCCTGGGGAGCTTTCCCAATTTACATTCCCATTGTGTTCTTTAATTAGTACATTCCTACAGCTTTTCTGAGAGTCCCAACACTTCCCGGGCTGTGACAGTACTTTATAAATAATAAATTGGAGGGAATATCCACTGTACCCTGCTTCACTCCTCCCGGTGTCCCGGTTGGTGACTGGCAGCTTTCACAGGGACCACACACGGTCTAGAGCAGCCCACCATCACCAGCCTCAGAGGTGGCCTTTGGTGGAGACCTCAATAACCTCCTTTCTGCTTCTTCTTCCCACCTTGCAACCTCTTATTTTGGGTCCTGCTTCCTGAACAGGCTTCTCCCAGGCGAAGCATTCGGACCTGATGGCATCCCCATAATGCAATCCCCATGCTAGTGAGAAGGGCTAAGAGGACACCTCAAGAGGATGTCCCTGCAGTTTTTTGGCTGTCCTGTCACTGGGCAGGATGCTGCCCACAGGCATTACTGGCTCTGCCAGGCTTTGTGACTCAGGACCTACCCTGAGCCATTCCCAACTCCAGCATCAGCAAGCATGCAGCATGCTGCTTCTCCACACAAGGACCCAGGCAATACCCTCCAGCCTACGACTTCTGGCACCCTAGGGATGCATGAACTTCTTCCTTAGGAACAAAAAAGGGGGAAAATTTACTTAGTGTGCAGCACATCAGCCAGCCCTTGCCAGGAACAGGGGCTAGGCAGAGCCCAGGACCCCCTGCCACCTAGAGCAGTAGGAAAGTCTTAAAAAGGTTTCACCCAGATAACCCTAAAAACCAGATGGGAAAAAACCCCAAAGTAAAGACAACTCAGCGCAGCCGTGCATCAGCGGCTCCAACCCAACATTTTCCCAAGTCTCATTAGGGATGATTTATGAAGGCTGACACCGTCGTTAACCTCTGACCGTGTCCCCACTGCCTGCAGGGCATTTCGCAGCCTGCCCAGGACTGTCCCGCAGCAACTGTGGGGGAATGATTGTGTGTTTATCCCCCCTGTTAGTACAATTAGGTGCTTTGAAGGTGACCCACAGGATCATCTTACCTGCAGCAATCTGGCCGCTTCACCTGCCCCTGCTCCTGGGATGAGCCCTGCACACAGCAGTTCTGCTGGCACTGCATGCTCGCACACACGCACAGCACTGCTTGGCACAGGCAGTGGGCACTAATAACCCACCATTTGCAACCCCATCTGGTTCTGACATGTCCATTATTCAAAGGCATTTGGCAAAGACCTTGGGCAACTCATTTGCAGAGTCCGGGTCAGTTCACAAGCTCATGAATTCCCAAACTATTCGCTGGTCATGCCCGTAGCCAAGCTGTGAATAGGTTTTTGGCAGATTTGAAAGGAGCTAGTGTTTTCTGAAAACACCTGCCTTCGGAGGCTGCAAAAGCCCACAGATTTCCATTCCCATTTAAGATGCACATCTAGCTCTCCGAGAGGTGGGAATAAGATGAAGACTTTACTGCATCTACAGAGCATCCCCCATCTTTTAGCAGACTCAGGGATATCAAGGGACATGGGGGCCCCTGAGCCAGGAGTGAGAGTCTCACCTCACCCTTCCCTGCCCTCCTGGGGCTGGAAGCAGCTCTGGTCTGGGGCCATCCCCAGTCCCTCTGCTCAGTCCCTCTCATCCTGCTTATGGCAAGATAAGGATAAAGGATGCAGCTAGCTGCCCCTTCTTCCAGCTGAGCCCCTACTGCGGAGCAATGCCCTGGGAGTGCAGGGAGCAGCAGCCTTGGGAGCATGCTCCTGGTCCTGCAGCTCCCACATCAGGATAATACACCAGCTGCAGACCCACGGAACACCTGGAAAAAGCACACTCAGCACATTTCTTTCCAGCCAACTCATATCATACTTTCCCTCGACCCACCAGAGCTGCAGCACACTGCTAAGTACGGACCGTTGGGGTTTGCCATCTCACATGTGCAAAGACCCATCAGGATCTTCCCTCCCACCTGGTAGCTGAGGCTCTGCTGTTCTCCTCCCCAGCTGCCTCACTCAGTGCAAAATCCCACCGAGGTTTGCTCAACCAGTGGTCAACCTTTCCCGGTCGCAAACAGCAGCCCTTGAGACTCTCTGAGATCAGGCAGCACCGCACACCCGCTCAGAGAAGGAGCGGGAGGCGCAAGCGGGGGAATACGAGACGTGGTTTGCTCAGAGACAGCTCTGTGCTTTTGGCAGGACTTGAGGGCATTTGTTTTGAAGCTGTGTTTACATGCCTTTGATCAGACGTGTTTAACTTTTCTGGTGCGTGACAGCAGCAAAACAAGTTTGATACAAGGATAATGAAACACATTGTGCGCCTGTACGTGTAAACGGCTATAACAAGGCTGTGCACATCAGTAACTCAAAGTGGGGGTGAGGGGGTGCAAAGACAGGGA